TGTGTGTGTGTGTGTGTGTGTGTGTGTGTGTGTGTGTGTGTGTGTGTAACTTGAGTGCAGGTGTTCAAGGAGGCCAGAAGAAGGCATTAGATCCTCTAGAGCTGGATTTACAGGCACTTTTGAACCATCATGTGTGCCCTGGAACCAGACTCTGGTTCTCTGCAAGAACAGCAAGTGCTCTTAAAGGCTGAGCTATCTCTCAAATCCAGACTTTAAAAATCGTATCTTTAAGAACATAAATTTTGATTTAATTGGTTCTCTTTGTTTGTCTTGTGTCTTACTGATTTCTGGTATCTTTTATTTCCTTCCTTTGGGCCGTTGTCACAAAGGCTATAGGCCATGAAATTAAGAGGGCACAGGCTGTCTTCATATGCCATCACATAGGGATGGGGGCCGAAGGGCGATGAGCCCCAAAGACATGTGGTACCAGCAAGAGGAATCTGACCTCCAGTGTTCCAGAGAGTCAGCGAGGACTAATGAACAGTGCAAGATAGCCAATGGACCATCATAACAAAGGCTATGCGCCGTGGAATTGAGTGAGCACAAGCCCTCTCCATATGCCGTCATATAGGACTGGGGCCGAGGGGCTTAGAGTCTGAAAGACACGAGGTACCAGCAAGGGAAACGAGACAAAGCCTCACTTGTGGGAAAATGGCCAGAAGGGAAGGGAGGAATCTTACCGATCTGGTAGGGTGAAGAGTCGCCAGTGCTCCAACCTGAAAAATGGTGGGTGGTACAGGATCCCAGAGCTCCTCGGACTGCTGGTGGGCAGGAGAAAGCAGTGGGATTGCCTGGTGACTTTGGGTGCCAATGTTATGAATTATTGTTTGGATGAGGCTTTTACGTCAGGACGCAGGGCGGCACTAAGGGGTGGGATTTCAAGGGGCGGATCAGAATATTCACAGGAGGTTTATAGAGAGGAGGGGTGAGAAGGGGGCAAAGACCAGTCCCTGGGGATGAGAGCGAAGGAAGAGAAAGAAAAAGAGACAGGAAACAGTGAATACGCACAGAGAGGGCTCTTAGTGTCTGCAGCTGAGGATATATCCTGTCAGGATCCTAGGGGCAGGCCAGTACAGATGTCTAAGTGCTAACACAGACAATTGAGTGTACTTTTGATTAGATAATGTATCTTCTTTTACTTTTTATTTGTATCTATTTTTATACTTTCACTATCAAATATATTTTTATGCACTTATCCACTAGCCAAATTGAAAAATATGAACTCAAATCCTATATCCTGTTTGGCACATAGCATGGCGTTTTCGTCGACAGTACTATAGTGACCACATTTTGGTGCCCGTAGCTTCCCGATCCCTTTTGCATTTGTGGATTGGTGAAGGATCAAATGCATAAGTAAAAATAAGATTTAACTAAAGGAGACTTTATTCCACACTTCTTAGTACAAGGAGAGCTGTAGAGACTGTGAGGCCAGTGGGAGGGAGATGGAACACTCGCTGTGTTCCGTTCTCGTCTTTTTACAATGAGTGTATCTGTGGAGTGGCAGCTCTGATCATGTCCCGCACCCGAGTAAGGGGCAGCGGGGATCTAACACACTCAGCACTGAGCAGTAAGGAGCTAAAGAATCGCTGCCACAGTCTCCGTTCTGTGCCTGAGGCAGGCTTTCTTAGCAGCCTTAAGACTTCACTCACCAGCGAAATGAAATCTCCA